CAAACGACCAACTTTTAAATGCAGTTTTCATGACGAATCGCTAAATATTAACAGCGCTTTTTCCGATTGCTTTTATGTGATGACCGTTGTTTTGACTATTGGGAAGAAAGGCTGCTCGGAATAAAAGGTAACGTCACGGCGCAATTTTCACCACAGACAGGCAGACGGTATACACGGCAAGAAGAACACAGTGTGAAGAGTGTCCGTATGAAAGGTGGTCTATGAAAATAAACACAGTTGTTTGCAGTTGTCGTAACTATAGATGGTTTTCATCACCTATATACATGTATATGAATTCGTTTTTTCTTTCATTTTTCAGGTTTTACTCGTCAAAACAATTTTTTGATTTGCTCTTGTCTGCCATCTTCATTGGCCATCGAAATGTTGTTTACAAGTCGTCACATTTCTGTTGTTTTCTTAATATTACTTTTTTTTTACTAGTTTTTGTTCTTAATAGTTGTTTCTGCTGGAATATGCATCGATTTGCTGCAGACAGAGTTCAGTTTAATTTAAATATTTCGTATCTGAATAATAAATAATAGAATTTTAATTGCAAACGATTTTGTTTTTTAAAATGACCTTTTGTTAAAACTTTTAAAGTTTTTTGCCTTCATTTTTTGACGAAAGAAGGTTAAATTTGTTAGTTAGAAAAATTTTTCAAGAATTTGATGATAAAGAAGTTGGAGTGTTTTACTGTCAGCAAGAGTACCGTATGCCTGAACTGTCTGTAAAAGGATCTTAGACAGTTACATGGGTATATATTATTTATTATCAGTCAAGAAATATCTCAAAACAGTTTTCTTTAGTTGGTTAGCAACCACAAAAGAACTGTGAAAAATGCAAAAAATTGTTTCTCTTTCGCCAAAATTGTCGAATAAATGTTTTTTTGTTGCAACATTGTTATGGCACCAGCTGTGTTTCCACACTTTTATTTCATATCGTTTTAACAAAATATTAATTGTGTTTGTTAATCTGGTGTAGTAGTGAAACACTGTTATCAATTTAGTAATCCAACAGTTCTCTATAGATTATCTGTAATTGTTTTTATGATTTTTTTAAATTATCTGTTTCGTTTTTCAGCAGGTATAATCATGGATAATTGAGTTTTAAAAGTTGCATAAATGTTTGAGGACAATTAATCGGCATCATTAAACATTTTTCAACAAATTTTATATCTTATTTCTCTCGCTGTCACATAAAACTTTCAACCAGGGGCATTCATCGGATCTGTGACGTTTCAGGATTTTCTCTGTTCTTGGCCTAACAATAATTATTCAAGTACTGAATTACTGATTATTAGAATGAAAGCTAGTGGAGATGATGGTAGCGGAGGAAACATCGGCAGCAGTATCGGTGGTAAATCATCGATATTGAACTTACGGTTTCTAAGTAATGCAGGTTTCAAACAGGCACTGAGCTTAATCTTCTGTGCTGGTGGTATCCTAGTGTGCTATCTATTATTTGGGGTTGTTCAAGAGTCTATGTACGTTTTTTTCCTTTCTTGCTTATCCTACTACCAGTGTTTTTTTTAAGCTGTAAAATACTAAGCTGAAGAACGTAGTAATATAGCTAATTTTTCTCTTTTTTTCCCCCTTCGTTGTTCGTAGTCAGAGGGTGGCTATTTCATGTGTTTTTGGCAGAATGCCATGAAAGTAAGAATTTGATAGGTTGGTGATTCGTTTTTGCAGTTAAAGTGGATGCATTTTCATGTCTCTGTGTGGTTCGTAATTACCATATTAATTTTGAAAAATTCGATCTTGTGAATTCAAGAAAATGGTCTTTTGGGACTCTAAATAGTTTTATAAAATTAGAAGGGGATAAGTGAAATAGTTGTTTTTGATATGTTTGCCTTGTGCTGTTTGAAATTCATCATTATTATTTAAATATTTCCTAAACGTAGAATTAGATATGGGATTCTTTTTTCTGTATCATTTTATTCATTATTTAAATTTCCCATGTTTTAAGAATAAGTGAGTCTATTCCAGTTTTTGCTCTAATTTTGATCATTCAAACCTGACTTTTCTGCGTATCAAGTATGGCCGTTCAAATGAAAATCATTTCAATGGAATTTTAAATAGTTACTTGTTGCTTAACTTTAAATTTCCCTAGCAATTACCTCTTAACATCTTAAATACTTTCTTCCTTTTGAGTATTTTGTATGTTAACTCGAAGTTTATCACAGTCTGTTATATTTTAAAACAAAATGCAGACTTCTCTTCGTTTTCTGTGTGATGAAAGAAACTGCTACTTTTTATTTCAGAACCAGAAGTAAATATGGCCAGAATGATCGGTTTACTTTCACTCAGACGTTGGTTTTCGTACAATGCGTTGTTAATGCTATTTTCGCCTTTGTATTGAGAGGAAAGACACGGGATGATGTTCCAATAAAAATTTATGCTTCTGTTGCGATGAGTTACGTGCTTGCAATGATGGCAAGCAATCATGCGCTGCAGTTTATCCCGTATCCTACACAAGTAAGTTTTTCTCGTACCCTTATGGATTGTTCTTTACATGCAATTTTATGAAGGATATATACTTTGAAGGTTCTTGGCAAGTCCTGCAAACCAATCCCTATAATGATATTTGGAGTTCTTTTTGCAAGCAAACGATATTATTGGAGAAAGTATTTATATGTTTTTATGATTGTAATTGGCGTGGTTCTTTTCCTTTACAAAGATCAACCGAGTAAAGGGACAAATCGAGCAGTTTTTGAAGTTGGAGTTGGCGAACTATTTTTAGTAAGTTTTACTTTGACTGCACTTTCTTATTTTGTTCACTTCCATTTAAGAGTTATTTTAATGCTTTTTTTTTTTTGTCTTTTTTTTTGATAGTCAAAAATCTTCAAAAATTAAAAGAATAGAAACCAAATTTTGATTTTAAAGTTATTTTCTCTCGCAATGGATGGAACTACCGGAGCTATCCAGGACAATATAAGAAGACACTATACTGCAAATGGTCATTCTATGATGTATTACATGAATTTTTTCTCGACTATTTATTTGTTAATGAGCATTCTCTTTACGGGAGAGTTATGGTCATTTATTTCCTTCGTTAAAATTTATCCGTATGTTATATCAAACTTATGTCTTTTGGCCAGCGCAAGTGCATTAGGACAGGTAAGTGCTTACTTTTATCAAATAGGTAATTTAATGAGGACTATTCTATTCCATTAACTTTACATTTTTTTATTTTTGAAATTTTGCTACCTTTCTTTGCTTGATATTCTAGGACTTTTTTTTTTCAGTATTTTATTTTTAAAACTGTTACAACGTTTGGGCCGTTAACGTGCTCTATAGTGACTACAACGAGGAAGCTTTTTACAATGCTAGGTTCAGTTATTCTATTTGGCAATACATTAACGAACCGTCAAGCTCTTGGCACAGTTATTGTCTTCACAGCTCTCTTATTAGATGCAATTGAAAGCAAGAAGAAAAGGGTCATTACGAAAGAAAGATAGGGATCTGTTCATTTTTTTTCGTTTTTGTTAATTGTTATTGTTGTTTCTTGATTGTAACTTTTTAATTGTTGTTCGTTCATTTAAATTTAAATCGCTGAATTCAAGTTTACGGTTGAAAGTGTCCCGCTTACTGTATCTGCGATTACTTACATTTTCGAACTTGACCTTACACAGCTTTAGAGTAGCGTACAATCTTTAGTTACTCCGGTTATTTATTTGTAATACTCCTGTTTGTTCCAAAATTTTTCAAATTTAAATCTTTCAAACTTTTTTGTGTTTCAAGGCCTCAAACATTACTCCACTTATTGCATTTTCTTCTGTTCCAGGTATTAATGTGTAGATGAAATTTTTCTTGCGAAAATCTACTTTTTATTTCAATGCTTTTCGATTTTTCATCAGACAGCTTATTAATCTAACACTGTGAGTTGCTAAGGGGTCGAGGACTGTTGTACACTGATTAATTCATTTTTCATTGCTTGTCATTGTGACACTGACAAGGCTTTCATATCGAATGATAAAGCAGCGTCTATTAACATTGGTACCTTCAATGAGGATTAACTAGCAAAGGTTTGGTGTTTCTATAAATAGGGATCTATGTCAACATCATGTCATTTGGTAACGTAATAAATTGTTCCTGTTTGTGCTTTGCATAGTTTTTGTGTTATTTCATTCGTTCTTTTTATTTGATACAAATTTTACTGTTAATACTCTTTATGGTCTGCAGTACAACTGCTACAATAATTCATGGCGCGAGTGAAGCAGATCAGTGGCGGTGCCAAGTTTTTACTGGTGTACAAAATTAAATGATAGGTTTTAATTTCTGAGTTTTTAACACTGGGTTTTTTTTCGTTGAAGTTCTGAGTAGTAGGTAGTAGAGCGTACGTGTGAATTTTTCTTAAGTTTTTGATTTTTTATCGTGCATATTGTGCAGCCGCATGTCCTCGTTCCTGATGCGTATTAAGTTTTATATTTGGCCGCCACGGGCGTAACTTTTATTTTTTTTTCTTTTGATAATTGGCTTTTTTTGTGAGGAAAGTTTCACTTTTTTTACTCACAGCTTGATAATTGCTTATGGTTTTAGGCGCTATCACATAGTTTAAGGGCAGAGAGCTTCCGGGACTTTGCTGATGAATACAGATTTTCGGGTTAGTGTGGATTTTAATATCACGTATAATGACTTTGATTGGTTTTTTGCGCTGTTGGATTTCCATGAGTCTTCTAAAACTTTATCTTGATCATTCGGAAATATAGTACCGAATTTAGTAAACAGGTTGTTCAGTCTTGTCATTTCACTTTACCGACAGACCCGGCAGCACTATAAACGTTGTGTGATGTTTTCGTTATGATATAACATTTCGAATATTCTTGTTGTCTTTCTTACTTACAGTAATTGAGTTAAATGCTGTTTTGAAACTGTATATTCATTTCTAGTTTTCAAGCTTAGTTGGCGTTGTTTACAAAGGAGGAAACGTCGTATTTACTAATGATGGCAACTCGTTGATAAGTCCCGTTGGAAATAAAATAACAACCTTTGATTTAAAGAAGTAAGTGCATTTGATTTTCGATGAAGTTTCAGTGCTTCTGTCTATGTATCTTTGTGAGTTTCATTTAAGAATTTCGTTTACAGTAATATTGCAAAAACTATTTCTGTGGAAAGCGAATTGAATATTCGGGTCGTTGCTCTCCATCCTGCGGGAACTCATCTAGTTGTTGTTGATGAAGGTTTGATTTCTTTCTGAAGTTAATTTTCTACTCAAGAGTTGAAATATTGACTTATTGAAATATAACTGAGTTTATCATTTCAGCAGGTGAAAGTCTATATATTAATGCACGGTCTGAAGTTGTGCTATGGAGACATAGGCTTCATAGGAAGGTTCGTGATGCAAAATTTTCGCCGAATGGAAGGTTTGTCCTGAAGTATTCAAATATTTCAAATTATTTAGTGTTGTGAAAGCTGGAATTTTGAGCGTTTGTTGTTTTTGTTGCTTAATTTGTATTAAATTATTTTCACAGGTTTATTGCCTTCTGCCGTGGTGGAGATGTTCAGGTCTATTCTCTTTCTGGATGCAAGTCGTATCAGTTCAGTCCATTTGTGCTTTGTGAGACGTATATGATGACGACAAATGAAGTAAGAAATCTCTGTTGGAGTGATGATTCACGGTAAACACTAGTTTTTTATCTGGAGCAGTGAATTGTTTTGCAGTTAAATGAGTTATAGTTTTTGTAATTGTATCAATCTTTAGCAGTTTTTTCAAGGTTGTTAGCATGTGGATGTGAAGACAATCGAGCACAATTGGTCGCAGCAGGAGGACAAGTGCAAAATTTTTACATGCAGACTCTTGGAAGCCACAAAGGCCCTGTTATTGGCAGCGTCTTTTTTGATAAAAGTTATGACGTGAGTCATTTTTTTGTATACTGATACAATTCAGTAATGGATTTTTTTTATTAATATTTGTTATATTATTTTTGAATGTGTTTATATCAAATTGTTAATTTTTATTCAGTTTTTTAATGAAAGGTAGTTTCATTTGAGAATAAAATTCCAATTTTTTGACTGTTTTTACTCTACAAAGATTTGTGAAAAGTAATTTTTTCTAGTTGGTCACAGTTGACAAACGCGGGTTAGCAAATCATTGGAGCTGCAATTTGAGTAATGAGGATCTCGTGGAGGGTTTCTGTAAAAAGGAAATTGATGAAGAAGTGAAAAAGATAATTTTTAAGAAGACAACAAAGTAGGTTTTTTAGGCCATGGAACATTTTATTTTTCATTGGAACTGTATTTAGCAACTGTTTATACTAGGAAAAATTTGATGGACCATTTGGAAAACACAGCTGGAGTTAACGCTACTGCTTGCGGTTTTCATTACCAGACAAACCTTTTGGTGTGCGCATTTTCAAATGGCGTTTTGCTTCTTACAGAGATGCCTTCATTTAATCTTATTCACAGTATAAGGTGGGAATTAATATATTTTATTACAAAATTCTGTTTTTGAATGGCTTATTTAAGGGTCTCTGAACTCAAAGTTAATGCCATTTCCGTTAATAAAGACGGCGATTGGTTGGCTGTTGGTTGTGGCAAAGGTAGCGAAGGTCAGTTAATTGTTTGGGAATGGCAGAGTGAGTCGTACGTAATGAAGCAGCAGTCACATGCCCAAAAAATAACTGCTGTCGTCTATTCTCCAGATGGAGCAAAATTAGTCACTGGGGCAGAGGATGGAAAGTTAAGTAGTTTTTTTGTGTTGCCTATTTTTGCACAGAATCTTATTTCAAGAACCTCTCTGTAATTCTTTTTGCTGTTTTAAATTATTTATTTCTGCCAGTTTTAGGTGAAAGTTTGGTCATGCCGTTCTTCCTTCTGTTTCGTAACGTTTACAGAACACACAAGTGGCGTTACTGATGTATGTTGGACTCCGGATGGCAAAGCCGTCCTTTCTTCATCTCTTGACGGCGTTGTTAGAGCTCATGATATGCTAAGGTACATAACATTTTTCATGTTTTCATTACGATTTCAGGATTCTATTCAAGATAATTAATTAATGCCTTTCAGGTATCGGAATTTTCGGACTTTAGTTTGCCCTGAACAAACCCAACTAGACTGTTTAGCTATCGACGCTGGAGGAGAGCTCGTGATGGCGGCTTCTCATGAGATTGCAAATATATTTATTTGGAGCCTTCAGAACAGTCAGCTTCTTGATATTTTATCTGGGCATGCGGGGCCGATTTCGAGCATCTCTGTCAATGGTATTAAACAGGCACCGGTTTCACTCTAATTCTTTGTTATTTGTGGACTTGTTCATAAATAACAAGGTTTTAAATATAGTGCTGAAATATATACAAAAAAAAGAGCTTTACTGGCACTTGCATGATGGTTGCAGGTGGCTCGTTAGTTTCCGGTTCTTTGGACAAAACTTTAAGGATTTGGAATGTCGTAGAAGCATCGCATGCAGAACCAATTGAACTTACCGATGAAGTTCTAGACGTCTGTTATTCTCCTTCTGGCACTGTTATTGCAGTAAGTTTTCAGATTTATGAAGTCTTTAGGCAGTTTTGGAGTGCAAGAGTTTTTAAATTTTTTTTGCTTTGAGGTACTTTGCCTGGATGGCATTATCAGTCTGTTTGAAACTCTAAACCTGTCTCAAATTGGAGAAATTAATACTGAGAAGGATGTTGACGCAGCTCGAGGCGCCACCGACATTATAAAAAAAGATACGAGTGGAAAGAGCAAGTTTGCTTTTGGATATTTTACTTCCTCATTTTTCTTTTTATGTGTAATATCTTCAACATTATTTTTAGAACATTTAATTGTATTTGCTTCTCAGCGGATGGCAGTTACATTTTGGCAGCGGGGCGCTCAAATTTTATTTGCATGTACGATGCCGCAGAAAGAATCATTGTGAAAAAATTTATGCTCACAATAAATAGAAGTCTTGATGGCGTACAGGTTAATATTTTGCTTATTTATGAATTTGGCTATTGCCTTTTGGACGGAACGTTTTTTGGCAGAGACAAGTTTTGAAACTGACAAATAATGAGTGGGAGAACGTAATGTCTATACTTTTTAATGTGTGCTAGATTTTTTTGAAGATCACATTTTAGAGGTTTGAAGTGATGGCTTTTAAAGCACGAAGTTTGTTCGGATTATCATATTGCTGATATGAAGTCAAACTATATTGTATTTTTTCACTTATATGAAAACTTTTTAAATCGCGGCATTAGTTCACCGCTTCGAACAACATTGAATTTTAGCCCGATATCAATAGACGGAACTACACTGAATTTGGAAATATGATGTTAATTGATACCTCGGATAGTGAGGAGGAAGAGAATGGTAAAAAAAGAATTAAGTTGGCGGGAAGTAGGGATAATGACTTTTCGGAAAGGCGATTTCATCCAGAGATTCGGGTTAGCAGGATAAGCTTTTGTCCTACAGGTAGGGACAGTAATCAGAGTTTTTTGTTACTGATTGTGCAAAAGTTTATTTATTTCTGCAATTTGTAATGTTCCCAGTTTATCTTAGATAATAGAGATTATTTAGGGCGAAGCTTTGCTGTTTCTTCTACGGAAGGTATTGTTATTTTTTCGTTAGATCACAGCAGTTTGTTCGACCCTTTCGAGCTTGGTACCGAAGTTACACCTGAAGTAATTTTTAATACTTTGAAGGAACGTAAATACAGTGCAGCATTGAAAATGGCTTTGCAGTTAAACCAGTCAGATATTATCTGCAAGGTTTTTCTTCAAACGGATTTGTCTCAACGTGAGCACTTTTTCTTTGGAAAGTTTTTTTGCTTAGTATTTTAAATTCTGTGACATATTTACATATTTTGGATTTTCTTTGCCTATGCTCTCTAAAAGGGAACGCGAAAATGGCTTGAACAATATAGTCTTTCAAAGCGTTCAAATGCAATTTATTTTAACTACTTTTCAGTTGATGTCGTTGTGGGTTCACTGTCGTCAGTCTATGTTACTAGGTTACTTAATTGGATGTCCGAATGCAATGAAATAAGTTTACAACAGAATTTCCACCTATGGCTTCTTTGGTTAAAAAGCCTGCTTACTAAACATGGAAGAACTATTAAACTAAATCGGAAAACTAATCTAGCAGCTTTGACGGGTATACAGCAAAATATTTTCATGCAGTCGACACACATATCAAAAATGTATGTTTAATTTGCTTTGTAAGAGATTACTGCTGTCGTATACCCAGATGATTTTACGCTATTTCTAGGTGCGATCAGAATATATATTGCTTGGAATATTTGATGGCTGCTAGAGCTGCAGAGGAGAGAATGGAAGAAACAATGCTTGAGCCGGATTCCTAGCTAGAAGTCGTAGCTTGTAGTTCAAACTGTTTTCTGTTATAACTACTTTCTAAGGTGGCATTGTTCAAACCTTAAGAAGCAAGCTGCACAAAATCTGGATACGGTAGCAGAATAATGCGGTTTATCTGTTCTTTTGTAAAGCATCTTTTGCCTTTCTTGTTCTTCTTTATTATTTTTGTTTGAAAAAATTTGCTGAAGAAAACCTAGTTTATTAATTACACGTATTTTGTTCTCAAGTTCATAATTCTAAAGGTGGATATTTGTTTACTACGCTTTGTCGAGTGTTGTTACAAGTAATTAAAAGTGTTTTTGTTTTAATCTCCTACTTGTTCGTTGTTTATTGTTACTTGGTTTTATACAGAAGTTTATCGTTGTTATGTACAGATTTGACTCTTGTTACTTTTGAAAACCCTGTTCAGCTTTTGTAAATGTATAAAAGTACTCCATTAATCAAGTTTTCATTTGCATATTTTTTTATTTTTATTGCGTGTTTTAGCAGTGATTAGTTTTGTTTTTATTTAATAGAAATATGCAGATATCTAAAATGTTTGAGTTCGGTTTTTTTCGTCTTTTTCTTTCGGAGATTGAAAAGAGGTTTTGCATGTTGTTAGTTGGCAGTGCTTTTTTATAAGGAGAGGAAGTTTGGGAAGGAAGACTAGTGTTGGCAGTTTTATAAAGATCGTTTCTTTTGAGCTGTAGTTTCGGGTTTTTTTTTTTTTTTTTTTGAATTATTGTGCTCATTAAACTTTACAATTAAATGAATAAGTTTTGTTTCAAAGATATTGGGGAAGTCTTTTCACGAAAACACTGCATAGGACTTGATAATTATAACTGGCTAAAGATCATGATGTTTAGAGAGCGTGTAGAATATGTCTTGTATTTTTTGCTCTTTATCAACTACGACGTCTTGGAGTGTGGTCATATTAAATATCAATGTGAGTTTATGTGTTGTGTGTGTGTGTGTGTGTTTGTATGTGCGTGAAGGTAAAGCATCAGAAATGACTGACTGGGGATAAAAAATTTGTCACCTTCTCCTAAGAAGTAACTGAAGTGCTTGCATGAATCATTTTGAATTATTTGGTACTAATTTCGGGGTAGCTACCAATTTTTCAGTGATGTTGCTCTTGGTGGTTGGATTGGTTATTTAAAATGACCGGCGGTAAGTAAATAGACTTCTGTTGAAAGTTAGTACTGCAAAAGTTTCAGATTCTGCTGTTACTCAGTCAGAATCTTTTGATTATTTTTTAAGAAGTTTTTAGAGTACTGAAAATTTTTTATTGTTTTAAACAGTTCTCAGTGGAAGCTGAAAATTTGTCTTAATGGAATTTAAGCAGTTGAAAAAAGATACTTATCAATTGGAATTAATCTACTATAATTTTTTTCTTTTAAGTAACGTCAGTTTA